TTTTTCTTTTAGAGTGAAAGTTGATGATTTGGACTAATGAGTGCAAGGGTTATCAAGAGTAAAATAAATAGGAAATTAAGCACGGAAGGGAAAAAGGTTGAAGATAATGTTTTTATCATCTGCACACTTTGCACATTTATGGAAAATGAAATTTCTTCTTTCTTTCCTGTGCCAAAGGGGCTGGCAAGTGCCATTGTGCCATTGTTTTGGAGATCAGTGTTTTCATATTTTCATAAGAGCAGAGACTGCCTCTTCATTATCACCGAGCCAAAGATTGCTTAATTTGTTATTGTGTAGTGCCGCATCAATATTAATATTATTACCAATTATGCCATAATCGATTGCTTTGCCTCCTCATTTTCCCCCACTGAAACAAAATGAAAAATTGAGTTGTTGTGAAGAAGGTCGGTCGATCAGCCCAGTCTACAGTGAGTGATTGGCCATAAGAAAGTCACAGTTACACTGCAAAGTACTGTAAAACAGTTGCCCACTCGGTCACGATTACCGCTGACTACTAACTAAAGATGGTCACCAGCACCACTTCTCAATCTTCAACTTACTACTGCGATTAATCTGACAGCTAATTGTGATCATCGTCGCAAAACTCTAAGATGCTGAAACTGAGATATCCTTTGACCAGTACAGCACACAAAAATGTAGACACTACTGACTTCCTCGTGGACATTGCACAGTTTGGAAATAGATTGAGCAGCAGCAGCAGCAAAAACAAGTGTCAACTGCCGCTTTTTCTGCAACTTGGAACTCTCTGAAATTGAGATTGTGATCGTTATGCTACAAATGAAGTGAGCTTCAGCAGCATCATCAGCATCAGCATCATCATCAGTATCATCAGGTGAGCACTTACAGAAGTGGACGACAACTACTTCAGCACACGTACTTCTGCTGCTGCTGCTGCTGCTGGGACACCGATGCCACCTCACTTCCGCACTTTGATATCACACAGTGATGGTGGTGGTGGACACACTTGTCGATATCGTCTCAAATCTCTTCTGCCGCATCGTTTACTAACTGAACCGTTTTGTCAGCACGTTCAGTGCTGCTCCTCAGCCTAAGCTTCAGCCGAAGGCCATGGTCCGCACAACTGTTGTTCATCCTCGTGAGCACCTCAACAGACTACTTTGTGTGATTTCATCCGCAGACTACTAAACAGGTCTGCATCCGTCCGTCCGCCGTTTTTTCCCTCTCCAACAGCGGTAAAAGGTGAAACCGTTGGAGGAAAGCGCATCATTTCGCTTAAGGGCACCACCATCGCCGTCATCATCATCCGTATCACCTGGCATCACTCGGCGGTGATGGTGGTGATCACTTAGAGCAGACACTGTACAGGTACGTGAAAGGGAAAGGAAAAGATACTCGGCTGCTTTGGCTGACCCCAAATTGAGCAGTGGTGTAACACGGACACAGTGTGCTCGGGTGCAGTCTAATTGGACGACGATGTCCCGTCCTTCTCTTCTTCATTTCCCCTCTGTTGCAACATATCGCTCACCGCCGGTCTCTTTTTCTACTGTATTTACCTGCTGTCTGTTATCCTCTTTTTCTTGTTCTTCACATTCACTTACTCACTCTCGATTTCTCTCTCTCTCTCTCTCTCTCTCTCTCTCTCTCTCTCTCTCTCTCTCTCTC